AAATGTATTCGCGGTTTAGATTTCGCGGAAATAAATTCGCGATAAAAGTTTCGCCAAAATATATTCGCTATAAAGTATTCGCGGTTAAAGTTTCGCGAAAATAAATTCGCTATAAAGAGTTCGCGATAAAAGTTTCGCTAAAATGTATTCGCTATAAAGTATTTGCGGTTAAGGTTTCTTTGCGATATTGTCTTCGCTATAAATGTTTCGCGGAATTGGTTTGGCTATATTACCTTCTCTATAAAATTCCTTCGCGATAAAAGTTTCGCGAAAAAGTGTTTTGCGATAAAAGTTTCGCTGAATTGACCTATAATACGCTCTAAAATCGATTTTTTTGACCAAACCTGCTTAAGGTTCAATGGCAATTTTTTTGGTCTTGACCCGTAACCCGACTTTTTACAAATGGAATTAGGAAATATATTTGAAATTCAAATACAGGAAAGATTAGGGTAAAAAAATGAACAGGTTAGAGATGGCTATAAATAGATCCAACGCAGGTTGTAAAATAAATCAATTGTTGCATCTTATATTGGTTGTCATTTAAAATTATTAATTTAATGAATAATTTGGAAAGAATAAGTAAACTTAGAAACCTAGCATGGAATAAGAACATCCTTTTTGGCTAAAAATATTTTTAAAAAATTATAGACCTGGACCAGGCCTAAAAATAATTATTTTATACAATCTGGGGTGGGTTAAAATAAATTATATCAATTAAAATAGTTTGAAGGTAAAATAATTCAGAGATACATCAATACCACCTTTTAGCCGATACCCAAACCAATACTAAAACAGTATTCACCGATACCTAAGTTATCATTTTTGACGTCTTCAAAATCTATCTTTAGCCTCAAAGTGGAAGGATGATGGCAACGTCTCCTCACGGCTTAGGTTTAAAAGGTTCCATGTGGTCTGAATTTAAAATATAATCACCGTATACTCGGCTGGGCGTAATAGTCATTAAAGTGGTTGATGCCAGGAAAGGGATTCGATTGTAAAAAGGCTGCTCCAATATCCTCATAATTATAACCATATTAGGCCAAAGTACCTCGTGGGCTCAAAATAATAGAGATAAAAATACTGGATAATAGGATAATGATCATCAAGATAATTTTTGATAGAAGAAAATTCAATTTTATTTGGGGATATGCTCCCCAAGTTAGCAGAAGTGAGGAAGAGTAATGCACATTTTGGGATAGTCTATTGAAGGTAACATCAAAAGTACTTAATAAAAAGAGGGTATTATTGTGGCAAATGATATGAACGAGCATGTGGGAGTAAATAGTGTGGGGTATGAAGGAGTTCATGGGGGATTTAGTTTTGGCAAAAAAAATATTGAAAGGAGATACTTTTTAATTTTGGTGATGCTAAGGAATTGGTTGTTTATAAATACATTGTTTAAAAAGAAGCAGAGAATATGGTAACTTACAAATTGGGTAGAGTTAAAGGTGCAGGGAATTATTTGTCAGAGAGGAGATGTGGTAGGATAGTGAAAAGTGATATCAGGTAAGGAGTGTATTGAGCAGTGCCATATATTGTAGAATATATTACTTTTAAAGGCGCGAGGATAACTAATAGAAAGCTTATGTCGAGTGAAGTGTTGAAATTGAGGTAGTGATAGATGTAAATTTATAGGACATTGGCGATAAGAGTCTAAAGTTGCATACACGCGAAAGAAGAAAGCCTGGTTGAAAGCCACTGAGGATGAGATGGAGGGCCGTCTAGAAACAAGAAGATATTGTAGGAGAATTAACAGGTGGCCAAAGCGGTGAACGAGAAACGGAGGTGTTACAAACGATTTAGGATACAGGGCTGGCAAGCAGGTCAATTGACCTCAAATAAGGTCAAATGAATAAGTAAATTTGACCGGTCAAATTCTACAAAATGTTATTTTAAGCAATTTACAATTTCATATCACCGAAAATCCATATATAAGAGTTTTTAAAAAAATACGCCCTATTTATAAATTACCCAGTCATGGCGGGACCACTCCTATTTTGAAAAAACAAAGTGAAGGTTGCGGATACTATACATAAAGCTTCCCATGTATTTATTGTTCGAGATGGGTGGAGTGGAGTAGTATCTGAAATGAAAGCATTATAAATTTCATGGTACTTAGACCGGTTCCTGGATTTTATAAGTTTTTAAATATCCAGGAAAATAGCTGGCAGATTATTATATTTTGTAGGATTTAATTCTTCAATTATATTATAAAATTTCTGGGAAATGTAATATAGCATATAGCAATTTTCCTGGGTATTTAAAAATTTATAAAATACGGGAATCGGTGTCATTAAAATTGGCAATGCTTTCATTTCGGATATTGCTCACCCATCTGAAACAATAGATATATAGGAAGCTTTATGTATAATATCTGCAACCTTCACTTCTATATTTACAAAAATTTTATAATTAACTGGGCAAATTATAAATAGGGCCTATATTTTTAAAAAACTATTTTTTATATGGATTTTCGGTGATATGAAATGGTAAATTGCTTAAAATAACATTTTAAAATATTTGACCGGCCAAATATAATTTTGGCCAATCTACCATATTTGACATATATCGACTTGCCAACAATGCATTAAACTATTTAAACATGCTAGAAGCCGATAAGGGAACAAATGAAAATAGATGAGATTCAGTCCTGGAAAAGGTTCAACAGATGCAAGGAAAGGGATTGGAATAGATGTGATTGAATTGGTGATGAGAAGAAATGGATTGAAGTGGTGTGGATGTTGAACGAAAAACAAAAGATAATTGGGTGAAGAGATATACCAGAAATTTGCAGGCCCGGCTCCAAGCCAGGCTCGGATACACCGGCCAGGCCGTATTTAATTTTTTTAAAATATACCCGGGTCAAACCCCAAATTATTTTTTTTTAAATACCCAGGCCAGGCCATATATTTTAAAACCAAATATTTTAAATCCTATTATTTGCTATAAAAATTAAAAATAATTATAATATATTTTTAAAAAATTTGGGTTTGATTTTTTTTTAAAAAATCCTTGTCCAGCCCTGAAAATATAAAACCGCTGGGCCAAAAATTTTTTTTAAAATAAAATCCAGGCTGGGCCATGCAAATGGTACCTCTGCAGGTTTCTGAGATATTGCTTGATGGAAGTAATCAAAATTTAGAGAAACACCTACGACCAGGGATTTGAACCGAACCTGAACCCGAAGGAGTAAACCCGGGTTTTTGATAAAAAAATCTGAACCCGAACCTAACCTGAACCCCATTTATAAAATTTTTACAACCCCGAACAGAACCCAGGAATTTTTATGAACCCGGGTTCAAGCGGGTTCAGTGTATTGTTTTAAATCATATATTAAGATATTTGTATAATTGTAAATACAAATATTAATAATTTAATTGAGATTTTAAAAAATTATCATAATACCTTTTAAGTGAAGTGATAATAAATTTTAAACAACTTAATTCATTTACGCCATTTTTTAATTTTTTTTAAAATTTATTTTCAAAGATTCCTATTGGAGTGTTAAATAAATTTAAAGCAATTAAATACATTCGCGCCATTTATTTTTAATTTTTAACTTAGTCTCAAAGATTACTAATTAAAGGATGAACAAGTCAAAGTAAAAATTATTATATTGATTTATTTTTTGTTCAGATTAATTTTTAATATATATTAATGAAGTGTATATTATAATTGAAATTAAATTTATATATCTGTTATTTAATTCTATGAAATCATTGCTATTTAAAATTTATCCTCTTTAACTCTTTTATTTCAAGGTTTATGACTGTTTTGTATTTTTAAAAGTATTTTGCCTATAAATAAAATAAAAAATTTATTTTTATACCAAATTTATGTCTAGTTTTTTAATATCAATTCGAAAATTTTTAAACCCGAGCTGAGGAACCAAACCCGGGTTCAAAAATATTTCCATAAACCGAACCCGAACCGAACCCACCTTTTATTTTTTTTACTTAAACCGAACCCGAACCCGGGGCTAAAATTTTGCCGGGTTTGCATCCCTGCCTAAGACATCATGAATGAAATTGATAATGAATGACAAAAAGTATCTTAAAAATAGAAATAGTGATGCCCAAGATGGTAAACCATAGGGAAAGAGGATCAGAGAGGAAACTAGCTTATCTGGGTAAACCTGAAAAATCGCTATTAAATGGAAATGTTATCATACTTGGATATTGATTGATATCATTTAAAATAAAATAAGTATAGACTGATCACCTAAGTTCTAGGTAGAGATATAAGAGTCAATAATTTTGCATTAACTTTAAAATATTAAAAACAAATATTTCTTAAATTTATAAAAGTAATTAATAAAATATTTATATAATTTATATTTTTATCTCATCTTCTTATCTAGCATGTGGTCACAGACCTGTCCAAATTGAGCGAACGTGAATTATATGGAATACCTCCATATAATTATGCAGAGATTTTTCTCAAGATACCAACAAACCTTGTAACTCAAATGTATAGTTATCAAAAAAGAGTAGAACTACGCCCTATATTGTGCAATTACTTTTTATATTTGCAATATTTTAAATTTGATGAAATAAGGTAGAGAAAAGGTAAGTGCAGCTTGGCAAGTTTTTAAAACGTTTTTAAAGTTGATATTTAGGAAAATTTATTTTCATTTTTCTTCATAAAAATTATTAGGACTAGGTAGACAATTTGTAAAAATATTTTATGGGCCAAGTAAAAAAAAATAAAGCACCAGACCAAGCACAAAACACAAAAGAAAATTACTGCAGACTGATTTGGGTCATACCAACCTCTTAAGTAAAATTATATTTCTATATAAATTGTATTATTTGATTAATTAATAACTAAATTTATGGACTTGAAAGAAAACTTTTGCTGCAGGACTCCAAGAAAAGTTTTTAAGCCAATGGATATATAACTAACTATATTATAAAAATCCAGTTATAATTATAATAGCATGGAGAGATTATAATATAAAACTTGTATTTAAAATGTGCTAAATAATCAAAAATAACAACTTGTTTTATAATTTGAAATCCTAACTGTTGCATGGTGGATAAAAATTTACGTAGATTGAAAAAACGATTGCATAGTTCTGATATTATTAATAATCCCCTGTTTTAATAAAAATACTGTTGTTATTCTTTTTATAGCATAATATAATAACAAAAAAATAATTGTCATTAAAAATTTAAATATATAAAAATTTATGCTACAACTTTATTTTTAGGATTCTATTGGCTTCTATTATAAAAGGAGATATATTTGTACCCATTAAAGAGAGGCAAAAAACAACAATATCAATAGCTTCAGCTGATAAAGGCACCTGATATTTTTAAATAAATAAAATTATAAGTGCTTAAATTAAACTTTTGACATATTGCAGGCTATAACATTCACATTATGGGATACTAAATCAAATGAATGCACCTTATTAGGAAGAGATTGAGCTAATTGTGCATTTCCACAACCCATATCAGCAATTATTTTAAATTTAGATCTTTATTCCAATATAAATAACATTAGCAGAAAATGTATACCTTGTTTTCAAACTTTCAATTAATTTATCTATAGGTTTTTCAGGCCAATTTGTTTGCAACGATTTATATGAATCATGGTATTCAATAAAATCTGTTGGATTATTTTCAAAATTTTTTTTTATATTTTTGATGGGCAATTTGCACATTTTTTCATTCATCAAACGAAATTTGGCACCCTGAATAAGCGAAAGCATCCTTTCTCTTAAATTGTTGGATCTCCGTTCCATATCATTATTGAGTATAACATTTTTATATTTTAAAATATTTTTTTTCAATTTTTTTTTCTTTCTAATTTCTTGATTCATATGATAAGGATAAATAATTTTATAAAAAAGAAGGTTTAGGTATTTTTTGATATGAATAAAATATATTATAGAAATAAATTATTAAGTATTTATATCATATTATAGAAATATTATTTATATTATCTAATTCTTTTTAAACAATATTACTAAAAAAAATTAACATTCCATTACTATTACAATAATAATAAATTATCAGATTATTTAACTAAAAATATAATTTTCGAAATACAAAAGGTAAATTTATAAGCGTAGAATCGGAAGTCATCTGTAGACGCCTTGTATGGTTTGTACATTGGGTAAATAATGTATATTGTGTAATATTACAGTATAGCTGTCATTTTCCAAAACCTACTTAAAGTATATAATTACTTACTGTTTTTATATATGAAGTTGCGGAGGTTCAGTTACAGGTGAGATAGCATTAACAGGTAAACTCGTGGATGGGGTTGAAACCTTTTCGGAAAGTCTTTATAAACGTGTGTGTGCCATAGTATTTTAATATGTTATTACTAATAGGTTATTACTTAAAAATAATAAAAGCTGTTTTAACCAGAATATTTGATAATCCACAAACAATTTCTTATAGTATATTTATGAATAACAGATTATTAAGAATTAATTATAAACTATTAAAAAATGAAACGTATAAAAAATTTATGATATTGTAAACATAAAATATGGTCCTTGTTATAGGGAAAATAAAATGGGCAATAATAAATATAATTTTGGCGCAATCATAAAGAAGTGAATATTTTTCAAAAGTCGATTTGTGTTAGTTTTATCTTATATAATTGGTGATAGAACAAACCCCCATGCTTTACAGGAATCGAATTTTACCCCCAGATTCAGGACAATCTCAGGGATATGCTATAGAGAATACTATACAAAATAGGGTCGTAAAAAATTTGTCATACAATAAAATATAAGAAAAATGATCCAAGGGCAAAAATGTAAATAAGTAATAAAACAATATTTAACATATTTCTATATATTCCAAAACAATAGATTACCCGACATCACATACTATCCTCATTATTACCTTAGTTGCTAGGGTTAGCATCGTGTTATATTTAAAACTTCCTATACTTAAAAATTTAAATATTTTAAATCTAACCATGAAATAAGGGTTTAAAACACGTACTTCAAACATAAGCCAGCCCACTCGTGCACTTTCTTAAGAGAAAATTTACTCTTCTCTTATATATTTTCTAAGTTCCAAGATGATAAAATGATGTTAGTTATTAATATATCAAACTATAAATGGCAACTACTAATAAAGTATGACAAATGTAAAAAAAGAATACTAAATAATCAAACCAAGGAAAGGTATGGAAAACAATTAAGAAATAGCCTAAGTACAGTTCTGAATAAAGAAATGAAAAATTATTAGTAAAATTTGCAATATCTCTTCTATGAACTCATTGGAAATATACTGGATACAATTTTTTTTTTAGATTATTCTAGAAACCTGCTTCAAATAAACAATCACAGCAAAATACCGATAAGGGATTGATAAAATCAAAAGGGGGAATAAAAATTAAAAACGGATAATCTTTATGGAGGTCAATACAAAAAATGTTAAGAAGAGATAGATTTAGAACGAAAAGCTGTTGAAGTAGAAGAGGACAAGAGGAACAATAGAACACACGATGCGTTTAATAAACAAAATTACTTTTGTAAACCGTCTAAATTTAGGAAGCTACCTATATTAAAATTGGCAAATAATAAAATATTAAGAAATCCAGAGGAACAAATACTCTGACTTGATTAATATATAAATATATTTGAATCAAGGATACCCATACTTAATGAAATCCAAATATATGAAAGACCTAACACATTTTCAAATTTCTCCATATTGTAAATACAGCGATAAAAAGTTATGATTTCATAAAGCTCACCGATAAAATCGAGTCCGAACATCTGATTACATATCGAAATATCTCTTAATTATTTCCCAAGAAGTTTGGGAAATAGCTGAAACTCCAAAAGAATGGAATCTATCTATATTCTGCAATTTCCAAAACATAACTCGTTGTAGCGTGATACATTAACTCACTTTATCACATACCTCTGAGTTAAGATATCACTAAGATAGATTAACTCCCTCTTTGATAAATAGATTAAGGAGGGAGTTGATTAATAACAAAGATCTTAATTACAATGTAAATTGATAGGGAGAATTTTATTACTCTAGTTTGTATAAGGTTGGTATCCGAATTCAAAATTTAAAGCGATTTCGCCTATATCATAAATTTAAAAAGGGTTTAATAATAAAACCTATAAAAATGGATTTAAAAAATTACAGTCCAAACAAAAACATACTGAAGACAATATTAGCCCTCAAAATAATTATACAGAAGTGTTGTAAATATCCACTTCACATTTGTAGATTTTAGTAGAGATATATATAATCATATAGTTATGAAACCTGTTCCAACGGCTCTCTCGATTTTAGAGAGAGAGAGAAAAAAAAATGCATTTGGGTAATCTCGCTCCCATGATAAATATTTCTATATTAAAAAAATAACTTTAAATAATTTTGTTTTGTAAACCTATTAATGCAATTCTGCAAGACAAAAATAAAAGGTCAGTTGAAGTATTGTTCACAATTTATATTTTGATGATATTTTATCAATTGGATGCAATAATTCACCCGCTATTTAAATCAGATTGACCCTCGTGAAATTAGATGTCAGCGAAAGGAGGGAAGCTTGAACTTATTTCCTGTTTGAGAAAAGATCTAGACAAAAAAAAGGCTAACTTGATTCCTTTATAAAGCCATGTATAGATTATTTTCTAATAAATTTAAAAAAAAAGAGAAGATCTGAATGAAGATTCTTTTGACGATGAAATAAGCTTTTTTCAAAAAGATTATTCTTTAATTTAAAATAAATTTCCCCTATTAAAATTTTTATTTATCCATTATAATACAACCCTCTCATCCTGCGCCAGTTGAACGTGTTTAACACAGCGAAATCTGTGTTGAGCACTAAGCATTGTTGCTTATCTGAACAAAATTCTAAAATCTACTTTTTTAAAAATAAAAAATGATTACAAAATATCTTTTAAAATTTATTATTTTTGTATTATTTTATTTATAAACAATATTTTATTTATTTTTGAGCCTATCACCTCTTCCGGTTTTTATATTTTCTGGATTTTCTTATTCCCTGAGCCTCTACTAATGCCATAGTTATCGAAATTGACTATTCTTTCCTACGATGATTTTCTCCAACAATTTCTTATATAAGGTCGTAGATAATGTTATCTCCATTCACGGAAAATATCGTCTCTTTTCAATTCTCTCAAAAAAAAGACATCTTGTCCAATTAAAATGTCGATTTCTAAAATATAATAATCTACACTCTTTAATGATGATATAATATTATACCAACATATTCGAAATAATCAATTATCGCTCTTCCAACTACATATCAACATTCGCGGAAAGCACCATCGAGGGAGGCCTGTCCTATCAAAACTTTCTTTTTCAAATAGTAGAAGCGCTTAACTTCTTTTGTGTAACGAATAGTTCTAAGACAACCTTAAGATTTCCCTATTTTGCGGCCGTAGAAAAATTTCCTTAAGTTTGAATTCTTTTACATCACCACACCCTAAAGATTTCCCCGACAAAGTTTAATTTTTTTTTTTGCATTTCTTGGTTTACCAGTATTTTTGATTATTTTTTTATTTGCCAAACCTTCCCACGTCTCCACACCCCAATAATTTTCCCGACAAAGTTCGATCCGATTTTTGCTTAAATCTCCATTTTATTTGCCAAACCTCTTCTTATCCCCACACCCTGAAAACCCCGTCGAAGTTAAATCCCAATGATATGATCCATTTTATTAACCAAACCTTCTCACTCCACACTAAAAATTCTCCCGGCGAAGTTAATTTTTACTTAGCGATTATTCCTTTTATTCCTAACTCCCCCTCCCCCCGAAAAATTTCCCTAATAAGTTAAACATTAATATCCCTTATACTTTATGCATCTAATTTTTTATTATTTTAAATTTACCAACCCTCCTAATTTCGATTGTTCATAATCTTTCTTTTTTCTTTCAATTTTTGATTTTTTATTTCCCCCTTTTTTCTTGTTTATACCCCCCCCCCCCCTTTTTTGTTCTTAATAATACATTTTATACTTTATGTACCTAGTCTTATTTTATAAATATTATTGTTTATTTTTTTTTTTTTTAAATTTACCAACCCCTCTAATCTCGATAATACTTCTGAAAGGATAGCTCAGATATCTTCCTCTTTTTCCAATTTTGATTTTTTTTCCCCATTTCCCTAGTTAATATCTCCTTCTTTTTTTTTTCTTCCATTCAAAATTATATCCGTTAATATATTTTTTATTTTTTTTTGTGTTTTCTCCCTTTCAAAGCCATTCCATGGTTAACTCTTGTTGTCAAGTATGCTTAAAAATAGTTTCGCTTAATTTAAATGGCGTGTTTAGGAAACATGGTTCACCCGCTTGCCACAATTCTGGAAAATTTCCCCTCTCTTACGGCCCAGATCCTTTAATTAACGCTCCTCACTCGTATGACCCCAGTCCACCTTGTTCCTCAAGCTTTGTTGATTTATTCCTTAATTTGCATAAGCCCCCAGTTCTTTCTAGGATCCCTATAGCCGCCCGAGAGTCTATCTCAAGGTTCCTCATATTACTTATAAATAATTTGAATTCGGATTTCTCCTCACTACCCTTATGGTTAGACCTGGTTAGTTTTTGTTTTCGAGTCCTAGTTAAACCCAAAAATAAAATAAATAACTTATCTGCCTTAATTAAGGAAAAAGTGTCCAATTTTGGAAATTCGATTATCGATGAATTTTCTCCTTCTTACGCTTTAAACCCCAACTCCTTCAGTCACAAATTGATCTTCGAAAAATTAGATCTTGGAGATATTAGCGGTGCTGCCCGAATATTGTCTTCCGATGATTCTATTTTACCTATCAACGTTACTATATTTAAACAACTTCTTGAAAAACAT